TCTGGGGAGTGATTTCAGCAAAGAGAAGGAATTATGACAGCAAAAAAAGCCTGCGATTATTTAAGACTTGACTACAATGTTGAAATACTCACGGGCGCCAGGGGAGCTCTTGGCACTAGATGGTGCCAGAGACGTGTTGTCGTCGTTGACCTCCGTCTCTTTGTCCACTAAAACAGGGGCCGGGAGGTCAACAGAGGCCAGGGAGGCTATGTCCACTACTGGCTCCTCCGGAGGAGGGGGTTCAGTCGGAGGTGGAGGTGGGATGAATGCACAGGGTCGCTCAGAACGAGACGTGACATAGACCTGAACAAAAAATATTATAGGTAATGTTTGAGTATCAGTTATACAACCTATGTAATGGAAAGTCAAAATAAAATACAGCCCCCTCAAACGGTATGACAGAGTGCGCAATGTCTGGGGTCATGGTGGAGTAGCAGAAAAGTATATGATAAGGTCATATGAGAGCCAGTAGATTAGAAGAGTTACAAGAGAGTAACAAACATAAAACAGAAGAAGGGGAGATAAGGACGATAGATTTTCGATAGGAAAGAAGAAGCAAACCACACCAGAGCACCAGCCAACCACACACCCACTAACTGCTAACTGTGATCCTTGCAATGTATGAAGGCATCGGAAAGGGAGTTATATTTTATTTTTACCCAATGAGACATAAATTGCTTAAATTAATAAGCAAACATTTTCAAATAAAAAAGCAAAGCCAAATTGGCATCTTAAACCTCACTTGCTAGCTAGTCAGCTAGCAGACACTGAATGCTTTTTGCTTCCCGAGTGAAGAATCAAATACAGGCAATGAAGAAAAAGTTGAGCACAAGGGAAAAAAGCAGTCTTAAGCTTATACTTCCTTCTCTCTCTCTCTCTCTCTCTCTCTCTCTCTCTCTCTCTCTCTCTCTCTCTCACACACACACATACACACACACACACACACTCTCTCTCTCTCACTCTCTTCAGTTTTCCTTTATGTCTGTTTCACTCATGTAATTATGGCATCTTAATTTACTCTTTATTCGCTAAATTATGTGTACATGCTCATTCCCAAACAAACAACAACACAGAGAAACACAGACACATGACACACACATACACAAACAAACATAAGCACACACACACACTCACACACACATACTCACATCACACACACATCACACACACACACACACACACACACACACACACACACACACACACACACACACACACACACACACACACACACACACACACACACACACACACACACACACACACACAAACACACACACACGTTCAAGCATGCATACACACCTGGTTTTAGTAAAATGTTTTTGTTTAGTATGGGGTTTTACAGCCCTCGCAACTGTTTTTAGTAAGAGTTTTACAGCACTTGCAATGAAATATGGTCCTATAAGTGCTGAAGATTAGAGGTGTTACAAGAGAGTAACAAACACAAAAAAAGGAGAATTATAAGGATGATAGATGTTCGATAGGAAAGAAGGAGCAAACCACACCAATGCACCAGCCAACCACCCACATGCATACACACACAGACACACACACACACACAGACACACAGTTCGAACCCACAATAGATTAGACCAACACATAAATACGTATCATCTTTAAAAAAAAATACAAGTGTGCACCTGTTCTAGATTCTCACTACAGACAGAGGCTGTCTCCATCATCATCATGGCCCTAGAGTCCTGACCCTCCTCCTCATCATAGCCCTGCTGCGGTGCCACTCTCAGTTCCATAGACTTGGGCTCCTCATCAAACACAATCCCTTCCAGAATGTCGTTGATGTCGAAAGCATTCTCTTCATCAGCATCCTCATCATCGTAATCAGAGAGTCTGGAGTCACCAATGTCTTGTGCTGCATTCTGCGATTCCAGGGGCTGACTTATTTCATCTGTTTGAAAAATTGTCAAGAACGTCCAGTTATTGAGAACATTCAGAGCAAAAAAAAAAGATTATTTGAAGACTTATCTTGGCATATTCTTTATCATCTTAGATCAGATGCTATGGGTAGCTACATAACCATTACCTCTACATGTACTGTATTTCAATTCCTTTTCAGTCACCACTGCTTTGTTGGCCCATATTATTACATGAGCAAGAAAGTGGAAGCTTTTGATTTCCCCTGTGTATGTTTGAGTGTAAAGAGAAGCATAAGGATACAATATCAGACATTTAGAGCTAGGAAAAAGTAAGACAGACAGACAGACAGGCAGACAGACAGACAGACAGTCAGAAAGAACAGAGTGAAAGAAAAGAAGTTGCACAAGTCAGTGTGTGCTGAAGCACATATTTACCACAAGGAGCAATACCACACAAAGCTATATGACAACTTACAGAAAAAAAGCAAGCTGAACAAGCATTCACAGGTTAGCTTTACAGCAAATATTCATTTAAAAAAGGAATGACTGGAGAAACACAAAATACTCTCTTTATATAATCTTGGTTAGCGATGTCTCCACAGGTATTCAAACCCAGATGGTCTACAACATAACCAAAACAACTGTATTACCAACCGAGTAATCAATAGACCCATGCTGAATATATCAAACTAAAGCGTCAGTGACAACATATCCACCTCTAAAATGATGGTCTCTAGAGGTACATGTACTTAGCTTTACTATTACTGTTGAGAATATCATCAAAACCATAAGAAAATACTATAGTTGTCACTTTATTAGTGTTTTAGCATGTGGAAACAGTAGCTTGCATTGTATGTTTCCCAAGAAGCTGAAAGTGTTTCTGAGTGTTCTTGGGTCTGCTGGGGTAATAATGGTTGAAAAGCACGCAGAGCATGCCGTTGAGCGTGTTCTGTGCAATATAAATACCACCTTTATTTTTATCATTATTATCATTATTATCAGGCTCACATTATACCAGGACATAAAGACAATGGGGTTATCACTTTTTCACAAGAGAAAGTCTACCTGCAACAGGTGTGTGTGAAACTTCTTGCGTTGAGGTAGAAGAAGGGCTAGGCTCCATGGAAACTTCCACTGGCATCTCAAGAGGCACTCGGGTGTTTGCTGAAAGAAAAGATTTAAGTTCAGATTTAGTGAAAAGAAACACATCAACACAATAACTGCCAGATAGTGATGATTTTTCTAAAAAGGAAGACGGACAGACTGAAACAAAAGAAGGGAGATTTACCAAAGGTGTGCTCCAACCTCATTTAGTTGAGTTTTTATGACACTCGCAACATTGCATAAGGTCATATGAGCGCCAAGGGTTGGATGTTAACAGAGAGGTCCATACAGGGAATCAGGCTTACTATGTTCACCTCTCTAGCCTCAACAGCACAAAGTCTGTTTCAACTATCAAGGCATCCCAGAAAGAGCGGACCACAAGAGTGTGACAAACATACAAAAGAAGTAGAGGAAAAATGATGATAGTAAGGATTAGGAAAGAAAAAGCAGCAGTTCCCCATAGCAGTTCGGGCACAGTAATGAGCATGACATTGATGAATCAGCCCATTTACAATTTTACTGTGCATAAGAATATATTAATATTCTTTGGGAATGGCCCAAAGACACTTCAATCAGTAGCATTGCCGGGGGGGGGGGTGTCTCCAACCTCCAGGCAAAGAAATTGGCATGTCAACTGATTTATGACTCTTATCTCAGAGCTGAAACATAGTGAAAGTGTCAAAAATGTTCGTTCATGACCATTGTGAGAACAACAAGTTCTATGCTCAATGCAACATCAAACTATCTACTCTTACCTCCCCCGACCCTATCTTTTCCACATGCAACAGGAAGATGAAAACACTTACACATCAACATACCTCCCTCCACCCAACCTCTCTGCGCAATTGCTGGCAGATAAGATAATATACATGTATATAAAGACAAACCTGTATGCACGTACACAAGGAATAAAGTTTAATTGATAAGAGGTATCTTTGCAATATCCCATTTAAAAAATATACATTTTGTGTTATGGACACTTACTACTAATAAAATTTGATGTGCTCAGTTTATTTCGATGTTGAGGAAATAGTGAAATCCATCAAGACTGATAAGTGTAAGAACTCAGTATTCACAGAGTCGAGAAAGGAATGCATCCAGCATTGTGTACAGAAGCAGTTGTCTTGATGTGGAAAATAAATGCTACTGTCTTAACCAAATCTAGAAGACACAAGATGTAACAGATAAGTGGACCACCATGCTATCACTGTTTCATATTTACAGATGTAAAAAGGTATTATTTTTCTGTACAACGATGTTTGATAGGAGTTATCAATAAAAAAGAAAGATAATTTTTTAGGAGAAGGAAATGACCATCTGACTCTCCATTACTATTAACTTTTGTTATGCAATAGAATTTTAGAGTCCTTTTTTTTTTTTGCTGTTTAATTTTTAAACATTTTTTTTTGTGTGTAATCAAAGCATCATATTCCAAAGCAAAACAATTACAAAAAGACTCTTTCCAGCATGGGCAGTCTGAGCTAGACACTACTGAGTAAATGTAACCATGGACAGGTTAACGAGTCCTGTATGTTCGTATTGACAAGTTTCACGATGTCTTATGACAATGTATTCTCTGTGCAAATCCAACATCGTGTTTCTGTTTTATTTTTCTTTGTTTCTATTACAATTTTTCAATGCCATATATAAGTTCAATGCAAATGATTTTGAAACCCTGAGTGTACAACAGGGAGACAGGAGGTATATTCCTGAAAGAATGAGAACAATTCGAACAGCATCCACATTTGAACAGAGAACACATATGCCTTGAAAAAGTTAATGAACAAAAAAACTTCAACCAGAAAGAGCAAAAACTTACGTCTGGAAGGACAGTCAGCAATAATTTGAGTGATACTCAGCAACACAAAATCTACAATAGTGTTCTTCTGTTTAAAACAGTTACTGTATATGTCATAGACTAACAAGTAAATAGGTAAAATTTTGTAAAGTGAGCAGAATTAGTTGTGTGAACTGGAAACTACAAGGCTAGAATATATATCTACATGCTATACCTGAATGAGCTTGAACACTATTGGAAGTATGGATAGCAACATCTATCACTTCATCTGCATTTGCTGTAGCTGTGGCGGCACTGACAAGATGACTGTCTTCTACAGTAATCGCTGCTGAGACACTTGGAGCTGGAGGGGTGGGGACAGGAGCTGGGGCAGGGGGAGCTGGTGCTTTCCGTCTCTTCTTCGACAGCAATGTGTCTGTCGAGCCAAATTCGGCAGCTGCTGGTAGTGATGAGGAAGAATGGGAAGGCACTGAGGGTTGAGGGGCGGGGCTATCAGCTTTCTCTTGCACCTCTTCAATGGGAGACACTCGAATCGGAGACTCGTGTATTCCGCTATCTCCATTAGCATTGTCCGCACTTTCTATGGAGGTTGTGTCAATACTAGTTTTGGACTTTGTGGTCAGATGATGCATTGCCTCTGGGGACTCACAGCCACTAAGTGTAAGCTCATGGTAACCACTAGAGTCTGAGCTATTGCGAGAGTGAAGACGACTCAGCATTTCCGCTCTCGACACTTGTTGTGATGAAGCTACATTGCCTGCTTCTTCGCGAGCTGACACTGGGGCAGAAGCCACATTCAAAGATTTGGAATTATGCATAGCTTGTGTGGTGTTTGTTGCCTGAGCTGCATTGCTGCTGTTATTGCTTGCAGTCTCATCAACTGCAGAAGATGCAGGCGGAGGCAGCTGTGGCGGGTGGTTTTGGTTCTGCTGAGCAGACGTTGGAACAGGCGGAGCAGGTGCACGCCGTTTCTTTTTTGTCGGAATTTGAGGCTGAGCAACAGGTGCTGTTGGTGGTGGTGCTGCTGCTGCAGAACTTCTATTGATGGCAAGTTCCTCTGGTGTTGGTTGACTTGTGACAAACATCGACTTTGGTCTCAGAGTGTCTGAAGCTACATCTGACCCGCGTCGCTGGGATGGCGGAGTGCTAGTTCGTCTTGACTGGGCAGAGCTCATCATGTGGCTGGTTGTAGAACTGGTCTCCATGTTGTACTGAGCTTCAGCCTGTTGGAGGAGAAAGAAGAAGGCTTTGAGATAGACAGAACGCAACTCTTCAACATTGACACTCAGGTTCTGGATGAGACACGTATAGTTATAAATCCTCTTCTCTTTATGCATCCTCTTCTTCTTGTATGTAAAAGTAGCTAGTTCATGGCTTCATTTATGGGGAAGAAAAGAGTAAAGAGTGAAAACTTTTTTTGCAGTACATAGAATAATCATTCACTCATACAGGAAAAAGTACTATAAAAACGGAATAAATATCTACAGAAAAAAATGGGATTTCAAATTTTTAATTACATCTGATGATACAAATATATACGGTACTTCACCAGAACCTAAGATGCAATAAGTATTGACATGACTTTATTAACACTTTGGTGCAAAAACCAAAGATTTGTATTTGGACAAGTGCTTTTTGTTCTAGTAAGCATTTTACTAAACTTGCAGCACAATTTATTCATATAAGTGCCGAAGATTAGAAATATAACAAGAGAGTAACAAACACAAAAAAGAAGAAGGGGAAATATAAAAGACAGATGTTTGATAGGAAAGAAGGAGCAAACTACATCAGAGTACCCGCCAACCACCCACTTGGACATATGCTATAACTGTCTTGTCAACAAGACAGCTGAAAAAAAGGATG